CCCATCACCACGTTCTATGTTGGGTCTCTGCAAGAAGAAGGTCCCTAGTGACAAGCTTGTAGAATCCTGAAAGGTAGCAGAAATGATCTCCAGAACACCCAGCTCCAATGGAAAGGGTCTTAAGTTTCCCTAAAACACAGAATAATTGGATGTGAGCATAAGGAGCTAAATCTTTATGACATGGTGGCTGGCCTTACTGTAAGTTGCTTACAAGAAACCAGGATCTGCTTTTCATCACTTAACCATCCATTCACTTTTTCCTCCCTTCATTCAATAAATAGTCACAGAGCCCTTACCCTTTAACAGGCCCTGTGCTATGTAAATATGAAGTTGATCAATAAATTCTTATCCTCAAGGTCATCCTTTAGTGTTTAATACCATTATAACAGAAAGATCAGAGAACAGGGGAGGGACATCTCATTTAATCTGAGGAAAGTTGCAGAGGTGAATTTTAAGCAAGACTTGAAAGATCAAAGGAAGTTAGGTAAAGTGGATGGATGAGGGTGATGGGAGGAAGGAATTTCACAATGATGGGAGCAAAAGCACAAATGCAGCTGCACAGGCAAATTGTGAACTTTCCCCCTTTAAAAGCAAAACAGGAAGTATAGTGTTTCATTTCCTGTGAGGAAAGTGCCTGCTCAGTCCTTACTTACTCAAAACAAAAAATACGGAAGTGTATACAGAGGAAAAATCACTGATAACATCCTCTTACCTTACTCAGGTCTCTTCCCACCCTCAAAACAGTTTGATAAAAAGGTTCTCAGGTTCTTTTCTACACAGTCACAAATAGTATTCTCCCTCCTCACAAAAACTAATTCATATTTCAATTAGAGCCCATTACTTAAAAAAATATTTTAACAATACATGCTACACATTTCTCCATATAAAAGCATGTAAGACCTATTGTCATTTTAAACAGTTATTTGTATTTGGATATTTTATAATCATTTTCATCCACAGACTTTTGCTACTATAAAAAATAAGTCAATGAATATACTGACATGTTTATTTATTTGTACCATTATTTCCTAATAATGAACTATTAAAAGTTAAATCTCTAATCATAGGCACATTTACATACTGCCAAAATAAGGACTGAACAAATTCACACTGCTAACAACTGTACATGAAAACATCTGTGTCTCTCATACTCATTTTGATAAGAAATTATATAGATAGATAGATAGATAGATAGATAGATAGTTTGGGTTCTATTTTTATTCCTTATTTGAATATGTTTTCATATTTTTATTAACTAGCTATACTCCCCCCACCCACTGTCTGCTCACATCTTTTGTTTAATTTTATGTTGGAAAATTTTCTTCTGATTTGTACAAATTCTTTATATTAACATATTAACCATTTGTCATATATTTTGAAATATTTTGCTTAGTCTATAGTCTTCCAATTGGTTTACAGTAAGGTTTATTTGGCTACAAAATGTTGAAATCTAACTAATCTTTCATTCATGGTTTTGAATGATTCACTGATTAAAAAAAAACTTTCATAGTAAAAATTTTAAAAATTTCCTACATTCCCTTCAAATACTTTTATTATGTTCTTGAGTTTTAATTTTTTTATATTAAACTTTTAATCCGATTTTAAACTTTATAAAGAATCAATATTTATTTCATTTTAAATCTAAGCCAGTTGCAAGTGCCAATTATTACATCAAACTCATCCTTTCTATTCTCAAATTATGGTACTTCATTTGTTATAGATATTGAACCTCCCGCTTTTATCCACCAGTTTTTCATCTCCCACCTCTCTGATTCCATATAATTATCTTGTCCTCCTCTTTTGAACTGCTGTCTTTATAAATGCAGTGATTTTTGCTCTGCATCTACTCAGAACTACAAAAGATAGTTCTCATTGTTCAACATCGGTGGCAGATTTAGGTCCAGCTAATGAATGTTGAAGTCTGCCCTCTCTCCTTGCATAATGTGTTGCTTGGAGGTGGAGGACTGCTTTTTCTGGCTATCACCTCCACCTCCTCCTCAGGAGATGGCTCTATCCTCCTGAGGCCTTGGAATAATGTACTTTACCACTACTACTGGATTTTCCCATTTCAATGGAAAACTTACAGACTCCAGTCTTATTTATATTAGCTTTTTCAGAATGCTACAGGAGTTTTGGAAGAACAGAGCACATACATATAAGCATAAGCTTACACACATACCTGTCTGGGGGCATTGAAAGGATATGCCCTAGAAATGGTGTTATTCTCATCTGATATTCAATCACTATGCTTTTTTAAAATCCTCTGATGACATCAAGTCCCTCCATTCACAGTTTTTGACCAAGCTTTCCAAGCTCTGGAAAGCTATCATATCACATGTTTATCATAAAATAAACAATTTCTGCTATACCACTAATTGCATGATGTAGAGTTTCTTGGACTATTTGAGTATTCTGTAAAATGTGCATTTAACTATCCAGCATAATGCTTTTCCTTGATGCACTCTTGCAACACTTTCAATATTAGCATTTGGGTACCTTTGTCATCATTATAAGCTGAAATTGTTCAATGTAACATTAAGTGATAACAAAATCAGGGCATAGATGAATACATTGGTAAGGGCCATTCAAAACCGGTGGTTTTGAATTCACTGAGAGTGAATCAAATGTTTGATTCCAATTATTGTTTCACAATTTTTAAATTAATATAATTCTTATATAAAATGCTTATAAATTTTATAAAACATTAATTATGACAATAAAACTTGGTTCAGTAGGGGAGAATTGTCTAATGTTTTGACAGATCAAGAATAAATATTTCTAGGGCTGAGGTTGTAGCTTAGTGGTAGAGCGCTTGTGTGAGGCATGTGTGAGGCAATGGGTTTGATCCTCAGCACCACATAAAAATAAATAAAACTAAAGCTGTTGTGTCCACCTACAACTAAAAAAAATTAAAAAAAGAAAAAATATTTCTAGATACTCTCATGCTCATAATAATTTTTATACCTTGTATTCTTCATTTTCATGAATTTAAAATCACAAATCTTGCCACATTTTAACTTAGTAGGGTTTCATTTTGGCTCCTTACTGTACATTGAAATAATTTTAGGTCTAGTTCTATTTATCCATTCTACCCTTATCCCCTTAGTCATCAATTTGTAATGTCCACTCTGCTTTATTAGTTAAAGTGAGTCACATATCATGCCTAACTTCAAGGGGGAGCAGAGATTATATTATTTCATATGTCTAGGAAAGTGAAGAGAACTAAAAATAATGTTAAACTCTATTAAATTTATGCTACCTGGAATTTAAAATAAAGATTTTAAAAAATAATCTTATTACTCAAAGAACATCTTTTAAAAGTAGCAAATTTTTTTTAAAAAAAATATTTTTTAGTTGTTGATGGACCTTTATTTTATTCATTTATTTATATGTGGTGCTGAGAATCAAACCCAGTACCTCACACATGTGACTCAGGCAATCTATCACTGGGCCACAAACCCAGCCTCCTAGCAAATTTTTAAAGAGAATAAACCACTCATTTCCTACCTCTCTATCAGCTGAGAACAGATTTCTGGGTTCTTCTCCCTTTAAGCCTTAAATTTTATTTAGTTATATTCATACTGAAAATACTATTCTTTGTATTTAGCATTATGTCATATCCATTTCCTATACTGCTTTAGAGTTTTTATAATTTTTGATGCTAGTATATTTCAAATGGTATTTTTCAATATGTATGTTCTTAGAATATCAAAATTTTCATATTTTTATTTCAGATTTTCAATCTAAAACTCAATTCTTTCCAATCTAATCCTCAATTCTTTCCAATGTTTAAAGAAAATAAATCAATAAAGCAATGTATTTTACGTCTTTAAGCATTTGTAGGAAAACCTGACATTTTGGTTTCCTCTTAAAATACAAATGTGCTATGGGTAAACAAATAAGCTCCTTAGCTTTGAAAAAGTATTACTTAATTTTCAAAAGACAACTTTTTCACATATTAATTAAGTAAATGGCTTGAAAATCTTGACAATAGAAGCCAAACTAAGAAACTCACAGGTCCAATGTTTTCTCTCATATGCAGAAGCTAGAGTAAAATAATGGATAGGGGAAAGAAAGAATAAGATAATATAAAGATAAAGGAAAGAGAAGTAATGTAGAAGAAAGAGATGGAAGGGCAGAGTGGAGGGATGGGAACTGGGAGACAATGCAAAATAAATTCTTTAAAAAATCATGTTATGTGCATATATAAACATACCACAAGGAATTTCACTATTTTGTATAAGTAAAAAGAACCAATCAAATATAAATAAGGACGTCTAGTAGAGTAGAGGAAGGAGAACAGAGGAGGGGAGGGAGGACAGGAGGGAAAGGGGAATCATAAACTGAAATCCAATTACATGCATGTATGAGTTTGTTCAGATGAACCCAACTACTATATATAACTATAAAGCTCTAATTTTAAAAAAAGAACAAGAAGAAAGCAGAAAACATCCAAAGGACAATAATTATTAAATTTATCTAATAATACACACACACACGCACACACACACACGCACACACACACACACACACACCAAGTTTTGAGAGGAATGTGATGTTTTAAGAAAATCAACTTTTACTCTACAAAATGCTTTTTCAGAAAACAAAATACTGAGAAAGTAACAGAGTAATGTAAGATAATCCTTCAGGTTTATAAAAGTGTTTACTATAAGTTTGTAGTCAATGGAAAGTTCCTTTGAGTGAGTTTAAACTATATAAAAAATACACTAAAATTACATGGCTTCAAAGCATTCCAGGAGTGTACCTAATATAAAAATGAGCCATCCTGTGCAGAACTTTTAGACTGTTGAAACCAGTAGCTCAACTATGAATAGGGACTCTTAACAGAAGGCAAGAAAACATGCATTACAAATTGAGGCACTGGCAAGAAAGTGACTTTAAAGATAATTTCTAGTTGTTTAGGAAAAATCTTGCAACAAAGGGAAATTAACAACATTCATTTGAACAAAGAAAAGAATATGAATTTAGATGTGTCCTACCCTTTGTGCTTCAGTAACATCTTGATCTTCAACTTTTATTTCATCCTCGGAATTTATGAGAGAGCCACTTTCTTGTGGTTTACACTCCTCCTGGTCCTCTTGGCTGACTGATTCTTCTATAGTCTTGACTTCTATAGTCGTGACTTCTGTAGTCTTGACTTCTGTAGTCTTAGTTCCTTCATCTGTGACAGTCTCAGTCATTAGAAAATTGTTTTCTTGTTCTGTTCGAACAAGCTTCAGTGGAGAAACATGATCATAGTGAGTATGTAGGAGTCGGAGAGCAATGTCACTTGTTGCCAATATCTTTGGAATTTCAAATCCAATTTGTGTTCCAGCGAATTTGATACTTTTGTACCTGTCAAAACAAAAAGCATGAGATCCTAGGAAATTTTGGGTGTATTTCAAATTTATACCTAAGCATTACTTCTTTCCATTTCCATTTTGCTCCTGTTTTACATCCCATTCAGACCTGTTTTGTTGGCAGCATTTGGACCCAGTTGCTGATGCTATTTTTCTCAAACACCCTCTTGGGATCCATAACCCCATACCTGACTCCCTCATTTCTAGCAGCACCTTTAGTCTCCTGTGTGTTTCCTTTCTAATCACCCTTAAAATGTTGACATTACTCCATGCTCTGTCCTAGGTTCTCTTCTCTTCTTCCTCTATATACACTCTGGATAGTGTCATTTCTGTGGCCTCAATTTCTGTTTATATTATGAGGAGTATCTAACATGAGTTTTACTTTTTCCTGGCATAGGCATCCCTAAATGGACTTTAATAGGTCAAAAACTGCTCTTCTATGAGTGTGAATGTATATAATTATTTGATGTTAAGAAAAACCTATGACATCCCAAAAACTTAAGAACCACAGGTTCATTATTGATGACTTCTCCAAATATACTCCACCTTAGATTTCTCTCTGTTTCTTTTTCAGAAAACAAAATGCTTTCAGCCAGTTTCACTTTGGTATCTCATAGTACTTTAAATTTAAAAAGTCCAGCACCAAATTTGTCCTGTTTATATTATCACCTCATCATCATCAAAATAAAACCAAACTTGTTTTCCCTCCACTATTCCTTATTATACTAACAGATACCAGCTTAATTCTCTTCTTAAACCTGGGTAGTGAATACAGAATTATTTGTTTTATTTTTATTCCTACCAAACTATACAGATTAATTTCCTTCACTCTTCTACTATCTGACATATTTTCCAAAAACAGGTTACATATTGTCTGTGATTATTTTTAAACCACAGTATTTTGTAGTGAGTGGAATTTAGGGAATATTTTGCTCCTTTCTTTTACTAAATAGCAAAAATAAAGTTTATATTCATATGATTAGTCTTTTCAGCTAGAACCAGAATCCAAGGCTTCTAACTTTTATTCTGGTAATTTCTGAAATTCATAGCCATACTAACTCAATTAAATCAAAATACCAAAATTTAATACCAAACAGAAATCAAGTGATCAGAAATTTGTCATTATCAACATCATTCCTCAGAAATATGTCTCTTTGTTGAAAGTAGTTGGGAAAACATTAAAAAAATATCTAGGAAATAATCAGTGTGAAAATATATTATGTTTAACATTTCAAAAAGATAAGTATATGTTTTTTAAAAGTTTCAGATTGCTGTGTAGAAAGTATTCACCACATGTACTTTTTTGGGATGCCGAGGCTTAGGTAGAAGAAGAAGAGGGAAAACCCAACATTTATTGATAGTTTATTTACACTAAATACTGTGCTATAACTTTTACATGCATTGTGCTTAATCTTCAAACAAATCATATTAAGTCAAGTAATAGAGGTGTTATTTTACTGATGATGAACTGAAGCTCAACAGGCTAAGTAACTTTCCTAGGGTAAAAGGCAGGTTACTTAGCCATTTACAACTCCAGTTAACTGACTTCCTAATATGGGTTTTTCCACATATACCATGCTATTATGCAACAGGCCTGCCAGTGATGATGTGACTCTAATGTCACATGTATAGGGAAAATATTCCCCATCCGGGTACCTTGGATTCTTCTTCAGGTTTGCCCACACATACAGAGTAACATTTTCATCTTGAATTACTTTTTCCATATTCCCACTGTCCAAATCTGCTAAAGTACTAGCTTGCTGTAAAAGAAAAAATAAACACTAGATGGAAGAGAAGAAATAAAACATTATATAGGTCCAGAGTCCTACTAAATTATACAACTTAAACAAGTTGTTTCATTCCTTATGTATTAGATTCCTTTCATTAATTAACTAAAAGAATAACTTTAGTACAAAGAAATTTCGATCAAAATGACAAAGGACTGCTAAAAACTTTCTCCTAAGGATGCAAACATTTATATAATTAAATATACCTTTCCTTTTTCTACTCAGTTTCTCTTAAGGTATCTAATGATTAAAGTGGTTCCTAAAGGACTGGAGTTGTAGCTCAGTGAGAGAGGCTCTGAATTTGATCCAAAACAAAATCCAAAACACAGGTGATCCTTTATTCCCAGGTAGAATCTAGGATGATTATTGTGTTACCATTTTTAATTTTAACATCAGAATATTGACTTTTCATTTCAACTTTATGCATGCTTCTTTCTCTGTAACTTATTAAATTGTAAATTGAGGTCAGCCTATCACAAACACACAAGTCTAGAAAGCACAATATCCAGTTCATGAAATCCAAATGAATCATGTGTTTTGCTACTCCAGTGATTATCATCTACCATTAAACACTTAAGGATGATCTCAAGAATTTTACAGACTAATAGTTTGATGTCTGTTGCTCAAGAAATAAGCTCTCAGAAAGGGGTTAAATAAATCAATACATATTTGATGGCTATAGTACAAAAAGTTCTGCAAACTGTACTTGTTGCTGATTTATTTTTAAAAGTGATTATTCTTCCACACTTGTTTTCTGTAACATTAACTTTTTGGAGTATCTAGAATAGATTCTTAGAACTGTTCTAAACTGTAGATTTACATGATTATTTCCTCATGGTATTGTTTAACTTGGTCCTCTATCCCATTTACTTTTCTCTGCACTGGAAAGACTAGGGATTAAATTAAATTTAAATCAAATATTTTCAGCAAAAAAGGCATCATATCTCAATATTGTGTACATCTACAAGACTGGGATCTTAGAATAAGACATATTCTATGCTTCTATAAACATATCAAAATATTCTAAAAAGAGCAAATTTTTAAAAGGAACCATAAATAAAGTTATATCATGTTCTTCATATTGCATCTGGAGGCATCTGATGTCCAACTATTAATGATAAAAACTTGGTCACTTGGTTAATATCACTTCTTACTGCAAGGTACTTTTTCTGTTTTGTTTTGTTTTGTTTTTTTGTTGTTGTTGCTGTGGTTGTTGTTTTTCTAATTGCTTAGTAATCTGAGGTCGAATACTTTGGAACTAAGAGAATAATGCATTCCTTAACAGCTTTTCATATCATCATTTAGGTAGCTCTTAAGGATCCTTATCTGAATCAATTATAATATTGGGGATTGGAAAATAGTCATTTTCTAACTTATATTTCCATCTTTACTTGGATGGTCTTCTTCTACAAACAATTGTTTCTCCCCCATCCCATTTCCCCTTTTTGAAGGATCACCATAGATTCTTAGATTTTTATTTATTTAATGTGTTATAATTAATAATAGTTATTATTCTTTCTGCTATTCAAATTATTCCATTTTTAGCCAATAAGACACCTTTTAAGCTGATCCCTGTCCCTTTGATATGACCCCCTTAATCTTTTAAGTGTTTGCTTGCTATCTAACACAATAAGGTAATATAGCCTCATCTTTTACTTTTACTTCTCCAGATCTGGAATTAGCTATTTACTATAATTAGTCTTGGTTCTTTTTTTAAGTGCATGTACTAGGGATTAAATCCAGGGCCTCCTGCATTCTAGGCAAATGTTCTGCCACTGAGCTACACCTCCAGTTCTCTTAGTTTTTACTTTTTTTTTTTTCAGTTGTTGATAGACCTTTATTTTATTTATTTTTATGTGGTGCTGAGAATTGAATCCAGTGCCTCACACATGCCAGCCAAGTGCACTACTGTAAGCCACAGTCCTAGCCCCTTAGTTACTTTTTATGCAATAAAATTTTCTTCATATTGATATTTCTATTTCAAATTTGATATTATGTAAAAGATTATAAAAAATACTGTACCTCTTTTAAGATAAAAATCTCGATTACTAGTAATTAGAATACATATTTACTTACCTCTTTTGTCCAACTACACATGTAACAGGTGCAAAATTAAAATAGGAATAATAATGCTAACAATAAGCTTAGTAAAAGATATTTAGTGGAAGGTTTCTTTGTAGTATTTTTTTAAATTACAAAATATTCTACCAAACTGATACAAAGGACTGTGCTCTAGACAAAAGGAAAAATAATAATTGGTTTAATGGCCTAAACCAATGTCTGCCTGTAGATTATTCTCATTTTAAAAATCAAGCTAAAACAAAATAGTTATAAAAGCCATTCATGGGAAATTACAGGATGTTGAATATGAGAATTATGAAATTATAATTTTTTGTTAGGTATATTAATTTATGGTTATAGTGTTATTTGGGGATAAAATGTAATAACAACAACTTTCAAATGGTAAAGAAAATATAGAGATAAAGAATACTACCAGACATTTAAATATTATTGATTTTAATACATATCAATTATAGCTCAGTAAAGATAAAAAATGAATTAGATCGACATAGCGAGTATTTGGGGATTCATGGTACTATTCTTCAAATTTCACATTCAAATATAGTGCTTTTAAAATAAAAAGTTAGAGAAAAATAGAATATCAATACTTGTAATCTTGTGCCAAATGATTTACTCAAATTGAATTTCTAATACTGTTTTGTAAACTTATTTTCATAGTGAACTTAGTAAACCTTGGCATGTATCAGAAAATTGACTTCAGTTATATCGATGATATTTCTTTAAAAATGTTAACAGTTACTAAATCTGCATTAAATATGTGTGCTTCAAGTTATCCTAATTTTTCCATACCCTTTTAATATTTTAAGAAAATTGAATTATTTTATTGTATAGTACAAAATTTTAATGTTTTTAAATGTTAGTATTATTTGGAAAGTTCACACATACTCTGAGAAGTATTTCTGTGGCTTTGTTAAACTTAAGATGAAGGAGCTCCTGAAGTTGTAGAATTGATCCTTGGTATTGTATTACATTTTGTTCTTGCAAATCAAATGGTGGAGTTTCCATTAAAATCAATTTCAACTTTTCAATTAGCTGTAATATAAAGAATATTTACATTAATCCACTGACAAATAGTCAAATTAAAAGTAAAAGGGGGATGTTATATCACTTTTGGATTGAGAAACTTTTTATCCTCAGTGAAACATGTAGAAATCCTTTCTGTATTCATTCTATAATTTAAGATCATAAAAATATTTCCTCCCAAACTCCCTTTTAAATATTCTCCACTAAGTATAATAGAGCTTTCATTAGCAAAATGACAAATAATGAAAAATTTTGACGTCTTTAAGACTCTGAAACAATAGGAATATGTTAGTGTAGTTTGTATTGCTAAAACAGAATACCCAAGGCTGGGTACTTTTTAAAAGAGAAGTAGTTTATTTAGCTCACATAGGTTCAGGAACATGGCACCAGCATCTGCTCCATTTTAATAATGGCCTCACAATGGTGGAAACATGTATAAGAATGGCACACACAAAGAAGGGAGTCAGAGGTGGTGCCATGATCACTTATAACAAACTATTCTCAAGAGGACTAATCCACTCCCATGAGACCAGACCAACTCCTTCAAGAACACATTAATCCTTTTAAGATGATGGAGCTCTCATGACCTAATTACCTTCTACTATACCTCACCTCTTAAAAAGCTTACCACCTTCAACAAATGGTGCTAGGGAAACTGGAAATCCAAATGTAGTAGAATAAAATTTAACCCCTATCTGCACAAAACTCAACTCAAAATGGATCAAAGACCTAGGTATTAGACCAGCAACCTAGAAACTTACTAGAAGGTAGGCCCAACACTTCAACATGCCAGCTTGAGAACTAACTTCCTCAACAAGATTCCTGAAGTATAAAAGGTAAAATAAAAAACCAGTAAATGGGATGGTGTCAAACTAAAAAGTTTCACAGCAAAGTAAACAATCAAGACCATGAAAAGAGAGCCTACAGAATGGGAGAAAATCTTTGTCACCTGCACCTCAGATAAGATGTTAATTTCCAGGATATTCAAAAAACAAATAACCCAATCAATAAATGGGAAAAGAAACTAAACAGACATTTCTCAAAAGAAAAAATAGTAACAAATATGTGAAAAAATATACAACATCATCTGTAGCACTTAGAGCTATGCAAACTAAAACTGCACTGAGATTTCACCTTACTCTAGTCAGAATAGCAATTTTCAAGAATATAAGTAACAATAAATGTTGGCAAGGATGTGAGGAAAAAGGGTCAACTCTTACATTGCTGATGAGCCTGAAAATTGGTGCAATTGCTCTGGAAAGCAGTATGGAGATTACTCAAAAAACTAGGAATGGAATCACCATTTGACACAGTTATATCAATCTTCAGCAAATACCCAAAGGACTTAAACTCAGCATAGTATAGTGATGTGGCCACATCAATGTTTAAAGCAGCTCAATTCACAATAGCTAAACTATGGAACCAACCTGGGTGCCCTTCAACAGATGAATAGATTAAAAATTGTTTCGATACATATACACATGGAATATTACTCAGTCATAAATAAGAATGACTTTATGATATTTGCTAATAAATAGATGGATCTAGAGACTATTATGCTAAGTGAAATAAACCAATCCTAAAAAACCAAAGGCCAAATGTTCTCCTGATATGTGGATGCTAACTCACAACAAGGTAGGGAGGGGAAGAATAGAAGGTTAAATGGATTAGACAGAGGAGAAAGAAGGGAAGGGAAGGGGGAATAGGAATAGGAAAGACAGTGAAATTAATCAGACATAACTCACCACCTCCCAGATAATTGCCAAGATCCAGATTCATGAACTGGCATCATGTCTGTTCTAATTAGAATAAGATATATTCCATGTTTATATAAGTATATCAAAAAAAGAGTCTATTGTCATGTATAACTAAGAATAATTAAAAAGAAAAAAACTCACAGTAGCACAACACTAGGCACCAAGCTTCCAGTACATTAAACTTTGGGGACAGACCACATCCAAACCATGTTAATAATTAATAAATAACAAAAAGTATGACAATAACAAGGGGGCAAAGGAGAAGAGGAGGAAAACTACCAATACTGAATACTATGTTCTAGAAATTGTTCTAAATGCCATGTAGTTTTAATTTATTCTTTATCATAATTATATGAAGTAGGTATTATTGTGTCTATTATATAGATGAGGATACCAAGGCCTTGGATGATCAAGGAATTAGTAAGTAGCAGAACTTAATTTTGAGCACTGACAGAGATACATACAGAAAATTTCTGAATTAAGAGATGCAGCAGGGGCTGGGACTGTAAATCAGTGATAGAGCGCCTGCTTACCAGATATGAGGCACTAGGTTTGACCCTCAGCACCACATTAAAAATAAAGGTATTGTGTCTATCTACAACTAATTTTTTTTTAAAGAAATGTAACACCGTAGTCTAATCCTAACCACCTCTTACTAGTAGTAAGACTTGACAAATTATTTAACATCTCTGTGCTTTAGCTTCATTGTTTGTAAAATGTTGCTAATGGTCCCAACTTCATGGTACAGATTACGCCATGTATGAGAGTTTGTTAAATAAACATGATTTGGAAATTGGCATTTACCATGAGGTGCTTCTGGTATAGCTATTCAGCTCTTTTCAAGCTACCTCTGGTAGCTTCCTGCTTTATTTCCTGAAGCTGTGAAGACTCTCTTCTTCTGTCTCTTGTTCTACTTACCCTTTTTCCATCTTTCCTACCATTTGTTACTTGTACTTCCATAGTCCACATTCTGTCACAGGAAGATGTCCCTCCACCCAGCTTATCACTGGTAGACTCTAACATTCCTTCTTACCATCTCCCTGCTAATTTCCAAGAACCAGATTCCTGAACCAGGATCATGCCTGGCAACTTCCCTGATAGAAAGGGTGTACAGTGGTAAGAACACTGTGTGATGAATACATTAGCATTCAAATAACTCAGGGGAGGGTCCTTAGGGATGTTGGAGCTCAGAATACCATACCCCAAAGTATAATCTTTGGCATGCTGAGCACATTTGAGTTCAAAGGAATTGGAAGACCTTAGAAGTTGCCTCAGAATCAAGGACTTTCTAGACTTTTTTTGTTCATCCCCCACTCTTGGTTCCTGGCATACAGCTTCTAAATCCCTGACTGACAGAAAAGGTCTAGAGGAATTGCTTTTGTTTTTCATAGTAAGTTCTCTTCAACTTTATGCTAGTGTGTTTATGCTAGTGAGTTTATGCTAGTGTGGTGACTCTTGGAGGATGGGGGCTGGTTGTCAGAGGAAACAAGGTCACTTTAAGGTTAGAAATTTTAGCTCTACTCCTTAACCTCAAGGGAAGAGAGAGGTACTGGAGATTGACTTAATCACCAATGGTCAATGACTTAATCAATCATGCCATGAAATAGGGCCTCCATAAAAACCCTAAACAATGGGGTTCTGAGAGCTCTGGGGTTGGCGTACACACCTAAAGATGTTATGGAATGTCCACAACCCTTCCCACATACCTTGCCTTATGTATTTCTTTACACAACTCTTTATTCCATATCCTAATATCCTCCATAATAGGCTAGTAAGCAAAAGTAAACATTTGCCTACATTTTGAGAACCACTATAGTAAGTTACCACACCTGAGAAAGAGGTATGGGAACCCTACTTATAGCTGGTTTCTGTAAAGTACAGGTGGCAACCTAGGATTTATGATAGAAGAGGGGTACAGACTTGTGGGACAGAGTAGGACTCCTGTGCCAACTCTAGGTAGTGTCAGCATTGAATTGTAGGATGCCTGATTGGTTCCCAAAGAGCAGAAGATATAAGTTGGTATGAGAAACCTCACACACAGAGTACTGGTTTCAGAGTATTGGACGTACTTAAAAAAAAAAAAAAAAGTTTCTCTTCTTTCTTGGGATTTGAAGAATCATATCATTCAGTTCAAGAAAATTGTCAGCCATTGTCTCATTGAATATTGCCTATCTACCAGTCTTTATTGCCTTCTTGTACTCTTCCCTGTTTTTAGTCTGTTTTACTCCATTATACATGTCTGTTAACTACTCTTTCATATTTTCTCCCTCCTTGATTTTCTTCTGGTAAATTCTTCCAACTTCACTTTAAAAATATTGTTTCACAGTATTTTTAAGTGCATTGTAAAGTAGAAGCTTCATAGGCTAACCTATCTATTCTATTAGCAAAAGAAGAAGTTAGGATACTGTTATTCATCTTCGCACCCCCAGCACCTGAGAGCCGAGACCTGGCTTCTAGTAAACATTAAAGATAATGGGTACTGAATTACTGAATAGTAGATGTGTTAATCAGATTTATATCATTGTGACAAAATATCAGAAAATCAATTTATAAGGATAAAAGATTTATTTTGGCTCATAGTTTCAGAGGTTTCTTGAAATTCACAGTCCCTTGGTCCCATTCCTTTTGGGCCTATAGTAGAATATTATGGCAGGGAACAATTTGTGGAACAAAGGTGCTCACCTCATTGCAGCTGGGACCCAGAGCAAGAGAGGAAGGGGCCAGGGTCCCTATATCCCCTTCAATAGCACACCCTCAGTGACCTAACTTCCTTCTACTAGACCTCACTTTCTAAAGGTTCCAATACCTCTCAATAGTGCTGTAGTGACCACCCAAGCCTTTAGCATACAGGCTTTCAGGAGACATTAAGATACAAACCATAACAGTAGATGATACTAGCTGAGGACAAAAGTCACCCATCTATACCCAAGTTATCTACATAAATGCATACAACTTGATTTTTTTTTTCTGGCTCAGAAAATTGTTTCTCGTTTATGTTGTCTTTATATAAAGAAGCAAGTGAATGTTAAGAATTATAAAAAGAAAGTGAAAAGTTTACCAAATCTCTCTCTATACCCAAGGGTTTAGAAGTAATAGTGTTACTAACTGGCAAATAATATAGTAATTTTTTATTTTTGGAGTTAACATCAGAATTCTTGTAACTTAATTTATATTATAGGACAATTCTTAAATACTTACACGTAGAACTAATTTACTTTTCTCAACCACCTCCATAAAAGTCTGATTTGTTTCCTCTTTCCACAAGCTAATGAAAGTATTTATTTCTTGGGCTATTGAAGGATCAGGACTCCCATCACATTGAATATAGTGTTTCCACTGTGGAATAAAAATGTTTGAAGGTTCATTTTTTATGAGAATTCAACCAAAGTTTAAATTACTTCTTTTTAAATGTCTGAGTACTCACAACCCAGTTTTTCCAATTTAGACAAAAAAAAAATTTTTGATGACTTTAATGAGTAACTTGATATAAACCAAATAATAACCAATAAACAAAGTAAAATAGCCAGATTATTTTTCAATCCAAATAATTTCCAATCTTCAAAATTCATATTAATAGAAGTTCTATTTACTTTCATATTTTCATTTTTCAAACACTTGAGCTGGCCACAGAAGGGCACACCTATAATTCCAGTTACTCCAGAGGCTGAGGCAGGAGGAGGATCACAAGTTCAGGCTAGGTTCAGCAACTTAGACCCTTCTCAAAAAAAATAAGAAGGGTTAGGGGCATAACAGGTCAGTGGTAGATTACCCCTGGGTTCAATCCGCAACACTACAAAAAAAAAAAAAAATCAACAAATTAAAAAATCTTATTTGAGTTATTCATTACCACTGGCATTTTAAGAATCCCTCTATTACTTTTATATCCTATGCAAATTTTACATTTTGCATAGGATGTAAAAGTAATATTTTTGGAATAATATTAAATTCACAATTTTTACTTAAAAATTGTACCATAATCATTTACCTTATTATAAGAAAGTTTTATTCAACCCCTCTCACCCTCTTTTGGTCAAACTCTTGCTGAGTGAGAGTTACCAAAACTTAGGGCATCAGTGCTACTCTCGGTCATGATCATCCTGGATTTTCAATCATAACATGTTATTTATCAGTGGCCTCATACTTGTGATCATGCATTTCTTTTCATTACAGCTTAACAGACCCTTCAGCACTCAGCAGATGTAGACAGTTAAGACTCAGAAAATACAGCACACCAGGGAGACTACAATGGTGACCATCAGAAGGATAATAACGAAAATTAGAAGAATGCTCCTTACCTAGAGTCTCCATAAGCCAAATTAAATGATCAGAGAATGAGCCAGATGAAGAGTCTATTCATTTTAACCAAACAGCCTCTTTGTTAATTTTTCTGAATGTATCTATCCATGTACAACAAAAGTATCACACTGCATAAATTTCTCTCTGTTTGACTGGCACATAATCCAGCACTTCATAGCCAAATTAAATTAAAATAAGGAATGAGAATAAGAGTTTAGAATAGTATAAAACTATAGTTACAATGTCAACCCACCAAGCAAAAATGGTAGGCATAAGCAAGGAAAAATTAAAAGGTATAATATTCTCAGTCCAATGAGGACTGAATCTCACCATCTTGTATCCCCACAAGACATTAATTTTTTAAAAAAAACTGAATAGCAGAAAAATTGGTAGAGTAGTGGGAAGGGAACAAGGGAGAGAAAAGATAAAATGGCCTGGGGAAGTATTAAGGACTGAATTAGAACAAATTATATTCTATGCTTTTTAAAATTATGTCAAAATGAATTCTAAAGTTATGCATAACTAAAATGAACTGATTAAAAGTAAAAAAAAATGCAAAAAAATGGTATTATCTTTGGCCATAGCAATCCAACTGACCTTGTCAATTTCTATTTTTAAAAATGTTATTGATCCTTTCACCTTTTCCAGAAATTGAGGATTATAGGGCCAATGCTAATGCCACTGTATTTGTAACCTTGTTTGCTTCATAATTTACCTTCTGTCACCAGAGATTTCTTCAGGAATGCTCCATAAAGAAAACATTTCTGAATAACATTTTAACTACTGTTATAACATTGGCCTTCCTGCATGGAAAGCTTCTGTACAATCACAGAACACAGCCTATTAAGAACATATTCATATCCCGCTGAAGGTAGCCATTGAGTGGAATTTCCTTGTAAATATGCAAATGGTCCATCAGATAGCAGAGATATATTACTTGAAGTATTGTCTTCCCAGGATTATGGGCTTGACAAGCCAAAGACTGGCAATGAACCACAGCAACTTCTTCAGAACAGTCATCATATCAACACTTTCCCATAATTTGTATGATTTTGTCTACTTCAAGATAAGTTATAGAACGCAGAATAATCAAATTTCAAGCCCAATTATCATCATCTGCCAGAAAGAGAAGCAAAAGCAGGAAGCCTAGTTAAGACAAAATGGTAAAAAATGAGGTCTGTTACTTGTGAAGACCCAGATATTCTTGCCTTTTCTTTTGTAAACCTCTCTAATGACTTAGGCCTTCTTTTCTTGTTGTTTTGGAGAGGGAGACACTCTCATAAATGGAGACTTTCTCCATAGATACACATTTCCCTCTCTAAAGGTTGATCTCAAAGTAACTAAAAATAGGCAGCTTCCCAGCACAACCTATGTTTGTTTTTGTTTTTGTTTTTAACTGTTACTAAATTCAGGGTGGGACCTACATTTCCATTCCTGAGTTAGACACCTTACATTATTTTTCTGAGCTTAAGTTTTGAACCAAAGCATAAAGGTGATTTTTTAAAAAAGGCTCACTCTGCTTATTTCAACTTGTATAAAATAACTCATTTTTCTTTTTCATTTAGTCATTTAAAAGCCTCTGTGTATTAAGTTTTAGAAATATCTCATTGTTGTGGAGTTTTGATTTTGCAATTTACCCCACAAGAAAGTAATTTTGTACAAATTAAAACTTCCTTGTGGTGGCCATCACATTCCCAATTTATTTCTGGTAAGATTTATCCATTTCTCAAAATATAAATGTAAATCTTATACATAAAACTGGGTGGAGTAACAAAGTTCTAGACCCAGGGCCCTTTTGTTTCTGACTGACCCAAACAGACACCACGAACCCCAAGAAGTTCATATGCCCTCTTGGCACAAGCTGACCCTTCTTATTTTCCCAGTTATGTTCTCTCTCACAGAATAAACTATCCCTGGAAGAGGTTCAGAAAATGGAGTTCTAGACTCCATGGATCCAGATGAACCCATGATTCTGACTTTTCATAACCTTGCTTATCCACTGAACTCTGTTCAATTTTTTCTTGTCTGACCCAGTCAGACACCTGAGGCTTCTCTAGAGAACCCACTCTCGTTCCTACTGAACCAGTTCATTTTCTGGCTCACCCAGCCAGACACCCGAGACTTCCCTATAGTACCTAGTCTGAATCAAAACATTTGCTCAAACTTAGTCCAAAACCCAAATTTGAGAAGCTTAAGAATCCAAGCAATAACTTACCCACAATCCACAGTTGGAGCAAAAAAACAATGAGCACAGTGGGCTTGGGGAGAGCCCATTCCTGGTTACTTGTTGCTTCTAGGGGTCATGGGAGCTCAGCTTCAGAGCCAGCTGATTATGCCAAAACCACTAAAAGGGACAATTCCTTAGACCAATTATGTCAAGCAGAATTCATTTGAGCAAAGAAAAACAAACCAACCATGATTCATGAATCAGACTACTTCCAGAACAAGAGCAGGTTCTAAGAACTCAAGCCAACAACGTTATCACACAGTATTTATAGGGAAATGGAAGTGAGGCATAGAAAACAACTTAATTGGCTGAAGCTTAGTCAATCAACTAATCAACTGCTTATAATTTGTTAGCTAATCAGCTACAGAACCTCCTGAAACCAACCAAAGCTCAGTTACTGTGATTAAACTCTGTACTAGTTTGGTTTGTGGGGTTCCATGTGGGTGCCCAGTCTGAATCCTTGGCTTCCCACACATTTTAGTTAACACACTTTTATGTTAGAAAGACATAAACCTCATGGACTGGGCTCTGCTAATTTCAAACTTTTCTTCTGCAGCCTCCATACCTCTGTTAGCCTTTATAGAATTGAAGAGTTAAGGGTCTTGCTCCAGATCAGGCTTTGGCAGAGAATGTTGTGGCTGGTTTGATCTTCCATCCAGACCTTTAAAACTTTTTCTATGTCAGCAACAAGAATATTTTGCTTTGTATCATTTGTGCTTTCACTGAAGTAGCACTTTTAATTTCCTTCAAGAGCTCTCCCTTTGCATTTGCAACTTGGCGATATGATACATGAGGCCTAGCTTCTGGCCTACTTCAGCTTCCTCACTAAGCTGAATCATTCCTAGCATTTGATTTGGAGTGAAGAATGTATACCTATTTCCTTTCATTGGAACACTTAGGGGTCTTTACTGAGTTATTAATTGGCCTAATTTCTGTACTATTGAGTCTCAGAAAATAAAGGGCCTAAGGAGAGGGAGAAAGACAGAGAATGACTGTCAGCGGAGCAGAGTATACACACATGCATCAATTAAGTTCGCCATCTACTATGTGAGCAATTCGTGGCACTCCTGAACCCTTAGAATAGTAACATCAAATATTATAGATTACAGATAATAATAATAGTGTAATATAAAGTTTGGAATACTGTGCAACTTAAAAAATGTAACACAGGCACAAAGTAAGCACATGTTGTCAGAAAAACTGCTTGACATGATTTCCACAAACCTTTAATTTGTAAAAATTGCAATGTACAATAAAGTGATGTACAATAAAATGAGCTATGTCTGTATGGATTCCCAACAACTGAGTCAGAGACAAGGTATAAACATTTCAAGTATATTATTTCTGAAAAACAGCTTTCTACAAAGTTATATCAGTTAACTTTGTAATGAGCAATAGATTTGTCAGATTGTATTTCATACATAAGTTTAAAGTTTCCTAGAATCAAAATGAATGTCATATTATATACACCTCCTTCTTCTGGTCACAAAATCTCAATTAAAAAAAAAACTTCATAAAAAGAATCAGTCTTACGTGAGCAAGTGATCTAGTATCTCGTTTCAACTTCTCTGCTTCCAGAAAACACCCCTCTAATAAATTCAGTTCTGCAAGTTCTTCAGTTCTCCTTTGTAGATCCTGTTGCATAGGGATAGATACAATGATGTGTTCTTTTATTTCAGCTTTATGTTTCAAAAGTAGCATCTAAAATTTATTTGGCTAAATATATAGTTTTAAAATGAATACTTAAATTAGTTTGACCACAACATCTGACATTTCAAGAAACATGAGATATTTCATCTGAAGCTGGTTTTCAAAGTCTCATTTGTAGAACTCTTGGTGGGGAAAGTTTTGGGGAAAACTCCTTTGGGATCTATGAAATCATTTTCATAGCTGTATTTTCACAAAACTCAAAGACATTATATATCTTTCACAGTATACATTTTGTATTGATGGTGCAAGATGGTATAAAACTACTGTTGCCTTAACAAAACAGAGCAGTTGACTCCAAACTGTACTAGATTGGGGGCTGGGAGGCAGGGCAGACCAGTGAGAAAGAGGAGTCAGTTGCACATAGGAATGACTTGACAAAAGGGTAAAAATTATTAATTTTACTAAATCTCAATGCTAAACACAAGCATTTTTAATATTCTGTGTTTTACAATGGGAACTATGCATAAAGCACTTCTGCTGCCATGTCAAAGAACAATACTATCTTAAGAAATAACACTTGTTGGAGCCATGGTGGTAGCTCAGTGGTAGAGCACTTGTCTAGCATGTGTGAGGCACTGGGTTCAATCCCCTGCACCACATAAAAATAGAAACAAACAAAATAAAGGTATTGTGTCCATCTAGAACTAAAAGAAAAATCCATAAAAAAAAGAAGTAATACTTGTGCAGTTACTTGAACGTTTTGGCAGACATTCTCTCAAAATTGAATAAATAGAATATCATTCCAAGGACAATTCAAAATATTTTTTAGTGATAAAATTGAAGCTTTCATAAAAATTCAGATTTTTAAAAAACTTGTTATCTATGACTGAGTTTGACAGCTTCTCAATCCTTAAAAACTTCTGATTTGATTGGAGATACTAATATATGTGATTTTTTATAATTAATAATAAAATACATCAACATTTGGAGGTAAACAATTCAGTGAAACAAAATTTTTCCAAGAAGCAATGCATGATATTGCAAAATCATGCATAGAATGAGATCTATTCAGAGTATAACAGAGGAATGTTTTAATGTAACACAGTATGTACAATTATTTGATATGGTTTCAGATTCCATACTTAGGAAATTACCCTTTCTTAAGCAGGTTTGATAGCTCATGCCTGCTTTTCAGGAGGCAGAGGTAGGAGGACCACTTGAAGTCAGGAGTTTGAGGACAGCCTGGGCAACTCCAGTGACACCCCATTTAAAAAAAAAAAAAACAGGAAGAGGAAAGGGAAGAGGTAAAAGAAAATGGAGAAGGAAAAGAAGAAACAAAAAAGAAAAGAAGGAGAAGGAGAAGAGGAGGAAGAAAAAGAACTACCACTTGTTGACTTCTGGTAATAAATCAAAGAATATTCACAATTATATTCCTTCTTTTCCCAACTGGGGCAAGATTTTCTTCATGGTATTTCAGTCGAAATACCACATTAGAACAGATGAAATACTAAAGTTGACATGAAAATCCAGTTGTCTTCAGTTAAATCATTTAGTAAAGAGATTCATGAAATCTAAAGGATGCCATTCATTTCCCTAATTAAAAAATATAATTTTATTTTAAAACTATAAAATATTTTCTATAAAAATGTTAATGTGTTTACTTGTTTTAGTCACAATTTATTTTTATTAATGTTTATGCCTATTAATATTTTTAAATGCAAAATTTAATTACTACTATTATAAATATTGGTAGATGTAATTCTTAAAAACAAAAGATCCTTGGGGTGCTTCAGTTTTTTAACACATTAATTGAGTTTTACCTTGAGACTAAATGTTTCAGAACTACAGGTCTAAAAGATTTTAGTGAAAAAGAGAAGAGAGAATTTGAATATTTTGAATTATTATTTTGGTCCCTGTTACATTTGAATATAAAAGACTTATGCATTCGGAAGAGTTACAAGCATAAGCTCTGAAGCAAAATCACTTAGGTCTGTCTGTCCTGGTTTTGCAACAATTTATTTTCTTTTCAATTTCCTTTTCTTTGAAATGTGGGTGACAATGTTACTCGTTTTATGGTAAGAGTAAATGAGTTAAACCAGTTCATGTAGGACTAAATACTACTGGTAGCTATGGGCTGAAAGGACCTTGGAGGGCAACAGATCTGGTACCCACAGAGTTTAAAACTTCAGTAAGAATATTACTAATGTTCATTTACTTTTTCTTCAAGTTGATGCCATTTTTCATTCTCAATTCGCTGCTTTTCAAGCTTTTCTTGTTCTTCTTTTTCACGTTTCAAACGAGCTTCCTCTAAAGAACCAAAAAAGTAAATACATGATCTCAGTGATTAGCTCACCTTTTTCTAAGGCTCTTAAAATTACTCTAAATATTTTCAAAAATACTGTAATATTTTATAGAAGATACATACTTTGTGTAGAAATGATAAAAGTATTAGCTTTCTTCCTTCAAAAAAGTAAAATGACTCTCAAACTTTTTCACACACAAAAAAAAATGTGTTCATGATGATATTTCTCTTCTCGAAAGCTTTTATAGCAATCCAGTAATTATTTTAAGCAACAAAATACACAGATGTTTCATGGGTAATTAGGGGAGTAAAAGTCTTCAGAAGACATCCATATCTACATAATCGGAAGTAATTACTTTAACCTTTTCTTGCTCTTACAATTAAAACAAATATAAAATATATATTGAAGAATATGACTTTAAACCAATGTAATAAAATGTTCCCAAAATAAAGATCCTGATACTGAACTCTTATCATGAGTCATCTAAAAAAGGATTTATGACATTAAAAAATCAAATGGAACCTGAGTCTTTTAAAAAATCTGAATATGAGTCTGATGATGTTCTTAATGCTAAAAGCTACAGCCACTAGCAATATCCAGAATTTTAAAATCACTTTTTTGGTATTTTAATTAGTCAACACTTTTATTAATGTTTAATTGAAAATAAAATTTGCATTTGGCAAATAAATATTGTTAAACTGCACAAATTTAAGCTGTTGTATGTATTTCTTGCTAGTATATAGTTCCAAACTTTAGTGAACTGAGTTTAAGAATTCTTGTTGCACAATCAGCACCAATGCCCCAAATTTCATCAGTAAATATAAACACTTCAAGACAAGGTTGCTAGAATTAGCAAATAAAAATGTGGAATGATCACCTGAATATGAATTTCAGATAAACAACTTTTTAAAAAGTTTATGCCCAAATACTGCACCAGGCAAAGTATGCCTAAGTTAGTCAATTTTCATCTGAAATTCAAATGGACTCCTGGATTTTATCTGACAACACAACTAAGAGATTTAACTTAATATAATTTGTTTGTACTAAGTAGTAGGCACCCTTATAAAATAGGCATAAATTATTTTTTTAAAGAGAGAGAGAGAGAGAGAGAATTTTTTAATATTTATTTTTCAGTTTTCGGTGGACACATCATCTTTATTTTATTTTTATGTGGTGCTGAGGATCGAACCCAGCGCCCCACGCATGCCAGGCAAGCACGTTAATCGCTTGAGCCACATCCCCAGCCCAATAGGTATAAATTATAAAAATTAAAGAATTATGAGAAACGTTGACTAAATTGCAAAACTACTAACCTATTGTTAGTATTACCTATATAGGAAAAAGTACCATTGTTTATTTTGTACCTTCCTCTTTTAGTCGTTTCTTCTCCTCCTCCTCTTGTAGCTGCTTCAGTCGCTCAGCTTTGGAGATTTTTTTTTTCTTATGGCCAGACTTAACAAAGATCACAACATAAAAAAGGCTATTAGCATGCACCAAATTTGCTTAAAAACATACACCTCCTCAAATAGTAATTATGAAAAACATTTTTGTTTTTAACCAATCTTTCATTTATTCACTCAACAGATTAGGTTGCTAATTAGTGCAAAGCCTTAATTCAGTGCATTGAAGGACTAAATCTGGAAACAAATAAGAAAAATAAGCATGTAAATTATTTAAAAGAAGAAATGAGTAGCTATTTTCATATCTGACAAAGCAAATTTCAAGCAAAAATTAATCAGAGGAGACAAAGAAGGTCACTAAAGACTGGAAAAGAGGACAATCCAACAAGAAGATATAATAAATATATAAAAAATATATAATAATAATAATATATAATAGTATATACATATATATGCCCCCAAAGAACTAAAATCAGAATACTACAGTGATACAGCCACAGCAATATTTATAGCATTACAATTCACAATAGCCAAATTATGGAATCAGATGCCTGTCACTAGATGAATGAATCAAGAAAATGTGATAGACATACAAAATGGAGTTTTACTCAGTCATACAGAAAAATGAAATTATGGCATTTGTTGGTAAATGAAAGGAAATGGAGAATATCATGCTAAGTGAAATAGGCCAGACTAAGAAAATCAAGGGTCAAATGTTCTCTCTCATATGTGGAAGGTAGAGTAAAATAAGGGAAAATGGAGAGAGGGGTCAGATATCATAAATATATAGAAAAGATCATTGGAATAAAATGCGATCATCAAGGAAGGAAGGAAAGAGAGATGGGAAAGGTGAAATAAATGTAACAAAATCCCTTTATGTGCATACATAAATACACCACAGCAAATTTCACCTATAGGTGTGTGTGTGGAAAGAACCAGTCAAGGGTGGACAAATATATGAGAGCAAGTACAGGATAAGTGGAGTAGAGGAGTGGGGTAGGGATAAGCAGAGGATAAAACAGGGACTCAAATGGAGTGGGTCAGAGTCCATGCATGTATGATTTTGTCCAGATGAATCCAGATAGTATGTATAACTATAATGCTGTAATTAAAAAAGAGAAGGAATGCGAGTGACAAGTATATGCAATTTAAATAATTCTCATACTCAAGTCTCTGTATCTTTATTTAAGTGGTACAAAAGAAAACCTCATGATTGTTAGAAGAATAAAGAAAAATATATGTAAAAATCATTTGAAAACTGTACATCCATAAAAGTGGAAGGTATTTTTATGACTGATAGGTATACTGAGTGTTATTTTGGAAGTTTAGAGGAAGGAGAGATTATTTTCAATTATGGGGCTCAAGGTAAATGTTTATAGAGTAAGGGGTATTTAAATTTGTACTCAAAAGATGTTAATAATCAGGGTAAGACATCCTAAGAAGAGGAAAATATGTGTGCAAGATACAGGGTTGGAAGAACACTGGATAGACCAAAAAATTCAGTTGGTTCTGGGAAGACTCAAAGAAGAGGTAACAAAGGGAATAAGCATGGGAATGAAGGTTGAAGCCTATGATAAAGTGTTGGGCCATTATTCTAAGAGAAATGGAAACCTTCTAAGACTTTGAGAAGGAGTGTGGCTCCTAAGAATATGATTTTGAAAACTAATCTTACTGAGCAAAACAGTTTTAAAGAGGATACTATTTGTCACCTACTACAAAGGCACAAAAAGACAAAATTGCATACTCTACTTTGTATGTGGAAACTAAAGAAGTTAACTTCCTGCATGTAGAGAGTAAAATAGTTACCAGAGGCTGGGAATTGTGGTGGGGAGGGAGGGACAGAGAGAGGTTGACTGGTAGGTACAAAATTACTGTTAGGAGAAATAAGCTCTAGTGTTCCAAAGTACAAGAGGGTGACTATAGTTAACAATAACTCATTGACTATTTTCAATATTCCTAGAAAAGAGGACTCTGAATGTTCCTAACACAAAGAAAGGATAAATGAGGTGATTCTTGTATTAGTTATCCTTATTTGATCTTTTCACATTGTATACATTTATGAAAATATCGCACTGTACCCCATAAATATGTACAATCATGTATGATTTTTAAAAAATTACAACTAAAATAATTGTGATAATTTTTCTTTATAGTTTTCTCATGTATCCCTAAGTAATTTCTTTTTTCTTTCTTTCTCTATTTTTTTTTAGTTGTCAATGGAACTTTATTTTATTTATTTGTATGCAGTGCTGAGAAACAAACCCAGGTCCTCACATATGCTAGGCAAGCACTCTACCACTGAGCCACAACCCCAGCCTAGCAAGTAATTTCTTTTTAATTTTTACATACATTTAACTGTGCTTTATGTATACTATTGAGATTTACTTCTTTTTATTGTGGCAAAGCACATATAGCATAAGATGTACCATTTTAACCATTTTCAAGTGTACAATTCAGTGGTTTTAAGTATGTTAACCAGCACCAATTTTCAGCACTTTTCTAGCATTCCAAAATAAAATTTTGTACACATTAAACATACTTTTTCGTACACATTAAATATGCTTTGGAAGAATTGATGTAAATATTAAACTATTTATTTATCTTGAATAAAGAATTAGCTAACAAAGACTTATGGGCTCAGAATTTTCTTTCTGGGAAGATGAACCACTGACTTAATTTCCTAAATGATTATAGACCTATTCAGGTTTTCTACTTCCTCATTAAAATATTTTAAGTTATTATTTTTTTTTTTTGGTGTTGGTCTAATTCATCTAGGTTTCCTATTTTTTTGGCACATAAAGTTGTTTAAATAGTGAAATTTATTGTTTAAATCATGCCTCCCTTTTTGTTTTTGATATTTATTATTTATGCTTTTTATTCTTGATATGCTTACTAGAAAATTGTGAATTTTGTCAGTTTTTCCAAAGAAATAAATTGTACCTTGTTCATTTACTCAATTATTTTAATAAACCTTAAGTGCCGCAGTCTGGCTGGGCACAAATCACGAGCCACTGAAGCAGGAACAAACTTTATTTTTAAACTGCAGGAAAACACTTCACACACCTCCCGGGGAATCCTCCCGAACCCGCCACGAGGCTTGTCCAGGAACCCCCAGCCGGAAATATCTCTCCCGGAAAATCCCTCCTCCTGCACTTCCCCAACCAATGGGAACTCTCGGGGAATCCCCGGAAATCCCCACGAGAACTCCAAAATAGTGCGAGAACTCAAAAGTTGCGGCAGAGGCGGATAGTAATGCCTCGCCTGTCAATCAATACTGTTGGCAAAATGCCAGGGGCCATACAGACTCAGCCGTGGCTCTCAGCACTTAAGAATCTAACATGTTAATCATTTCGAATATATAAGTAAACAAACATCCTTGCACAATGAGCTTACATTCAAATGGAAAGAGAAAGCAAAAACAAACAAAAAATAAATTTAAAAAATTATAAAATATTTTAAAGAGTAATAAGTGATATGGAGGAAAGTTGAGGGACTTCAGACTGCTAGGTAGTTGTAGATAGATGAATTACAATTTTAAATAGAGTGGTTACGGTGGACTTCTAATAGAGGTGATATGTGAGTGAAGATGAAGGACATGAGGTTACTGATCCTCTCAATTGTATGTTTTCTAATGCTTTTTGTATTTAGCCTTATTTCCTTTCTGTTTCTTACTTTAAATTTTACTCTTTTTCTTAAGAAAGATACTTAGTTCATTAATGTTCAGTATTTATCTTCTAATATAAGTATTTACAACTACACAATTTCTATCTATTGCTTTAGCTATATTACACAAATTCTTAAGTGTTCTCCTTATTGAGTTAAATTATTTTCTAATCTCCATTATATTACCTCCTTTAAAAAAGTTTTTTAGTGGTGTATTACTATTATATTTAATAGTGGGATTCATTGTTAGTATTTGTGCATGCATACAATAGCCATTATGTTACCTCTGGACTAACTTTAGAATATTTCAAAAGTTCCAAGAATCTTGTGTCTTCCTGCTTATACCTATTTCTTTGCTTTTTAGCTTAATATCATGCTCTAAACTGTTTTTATTTCTTTAATTTTAAGCACAGTTATACAATACTGTACTGTCAACTTGGAGAAGAAAAGTATATGTTCTTAAAATTCCCTAGTAGTTGGCTGCAGTGTTCTAAATATATCTAATTTTTTAGATTTTTTTTAACCATGTTGCTCTAATCTTCTAAATACTTGATTTTTAATGCTTGTCCTATAAATTAAAGAAAGAGGAAATCTACTATATTTGTGGACTTGTCTATTTCTCCTTACAGTTCTCTGAATTTATGCATTGCATATATCAAGCCTTTATAATTAGGTATATACAGATTAAAATTCTATTTCTTTGATATTCAAATCTCTCTCACAAAATGATCTTCTATTTCTAAAAGTGTTTTTAATATTAATTTCTATTGTGTCTAATATTAATCTGGCTAACAGTTTTCATTTTTCTAGCATTTGCATAGCATGATTTTATAATTTTATCTTCAACTTTCTTGTATCTTTGATATGTTTTTGTATTTTTAATATATTTGAGCATTAATAAACTATACTATTTTGGAGAGTATCCTACCTTCTTCTTTTTTTTTTTTGTATCCTTTCTTGATATCTTTCTGATTGTCCTTCCACTATTTTCTCTCTAATAGTTTGGAAGTTGCAAATTTTGTTTCTATAATTTTAGTGATTACTCTAGAAAATCAAGAAATATACCTGCTTTATCAATATCTTTATCTTCCTACCAATCAGTACATGAACTTTAGAACATATTAACTCCTTTCCCTTACCCAATTACACATTATAATTATGCATCTTTTTATAATAGTTTTATTGATATAATTCACATCTTACAATTTACCCATTTAAAGCATATGAGTAAGTCAGCTTTCCATCACTATACCAAAATACCTGAAATATTCTCTTAAAAAGGGGGAAAGTTTATTTTGGCTCATGATGTTGGATATAGTCCTCCAAATGGTCATCTGGCCTCACTGCATTTGGGCCTGTTGCAAGGCAGTATAATCATGGCAGAAGAAA